GCTCTTGAGACTGTGCTGAGAGACACAGCAAACCTTCTGGCAATGGCAGGTATTGATGTGCCATTCTGGAAGACTGCCTGTGCAACCTCTGTAGGGTCCAGGTATCGCCTCATGCTACCAGTAGTGACACTGATCCTAGCCAAATGCAAAACTAGTGAAAAACAGTCAGAAATGATGAGTAGGGAAAACAATGTCAGTGTCTTCACCTGTAAAACCATTCCTGTTTTGTGGGTTGTCTCATTGTTGCCTATCTAGTGCACCTGTCAATTCCATTAACACTAAAGCAGCTGAAACTGATTAACAACCCCCCTCTGCTACTTAGCTGACCAGATTATTATCCCAGGAGTTTAATGGACTTGATGCTATACTCTGATTAAAAAGTGTTCCTTTAATATTTTTTGCGCAGTGTAGTTAGAAGTTAACACTTGCAATGTGGGCTCAGTCCCACAGCAAGGAATCTTTTTAAAGTTTGGGCTTTAATATCACCGCAGCACACTTGCAAAAAAAGATACTTGTTTTTGTGCCCTAGAAAAACACGCACAAATATGTTTTCATTCTTGCATTACACAAGTGTGAACAGAGCCTTTATGAGTTGATTGATATGTTTTGCTGTCTGCCAAAACCTACTAGCTACATTTTGTTTATTTTTTTTTAATGCTCCCCTTTTTCAGAGTTTGTTCATATTGTTCGCAAGCTAAATCCTCCTCTTTAGCGCACAGGCAGCTTTCAGTTTTTCCCTGCAGTGAGCTGTGAAGGGATGGTGTAAAGTACGTTTCAGTGTATCGCACTGTTTACTTTTTTTTTTTTCATTTATTAAACACAAAGTGACACTTCATTCATATCTTTGCAAAGTAATATGGTGCATTGTGCTGGAGTGCAGGGACAGGAGATGCCATTCAGTTTATTGAGCATAAATGCAGCAAATCTGCATTTTTCTGCAGTGCACTCCACCGCTCATCACACCAGCAATGTCATGTGAATGGGGCTCATAGAAAACATTTAATTTCTATGTGCCCTTGGATGAGTGGTGTATTTTCAGTGCAGAAAAATGCCACTCACCACACATAGTGTGAACACGCACAGAAAGTCTTCAGGCCAAGTATGTGATGCTGTAAGGTTCTCTTTATCTTTATTTTTTTTAATACATATGCATTTGTGGCTCTGAAACTTACTGTGTATACCAAATTCTACCCCAAATATCAACTTAACTCCTAATCCTTTAATTTCATCCAAATTCTAAATTTAGAAGTCAGAGAAAATCAACCCTACTACTATTTTTCGTGCTGAAACAAACTTCTTTAACCTTAATCTGAAGGATAACATTATAATAGCCATAACCTCAATGAAGACATTACTTTCAAGCTGCAAGTGTATTGTATCAAGTTCAAACAAAAAATTGCTAAAGAGTTTAAAAAACTGAATTATAAATGCAAGCATACAATAACCCCCCATAAATGGCACTGAAAATGACACTTTCTCCAGAATTTTGGATTTACTTGTGAAGCGCTACCCCCTGAAGGAACCATGAGAAGGAAGCCCAGGGTTCTTTTCCCAGTAGTAAAAACAAAGGTAACTGCCCCAAGCTTTAACTGGCCTTCACAACAAAGAGCACATGGAAGGGCAACACATGTCAAACAACAACAAAGAAAAATTCCTAGCTCAACTTACCAGCTAGCCTACAACCAACCAAATTGCCCTGTTTAACAGTTCATATTAAAAACAGGGATTTAGTGTGCACACATTTGCAAATACATACCTAAGCTGCAAAGGCCATGTCACTGCATCCCAGTAATATCAGCAGTCCTAACTCTATAACTTTTGTGAGCCTTCATAGTAGGACCACATATATAATAATGGATATATTGAGGGAAGGTATGCCTGGAGGGAGCCCACCCCTCTTTAAAGGCACAGAGGTGCAATGGACACCCAGCAAACACCACAATGGCAGTGAAGGTGTTCTTTTCCTAATAATTACCCTGCAGTAAGGCACACGGTCACAGTCACTCTTTGGCTAAAAGAACAGTCCAGGGGTATTCTCTTTTTGGTGCTTTTTTATTTCTGGGTAACTGGATGGGGAATTGAGTGGGGTACTCCAAAACTATGTACAAATAAGAGGGCACTTTCTCTTCTGTAAAACCATGAACCAAGTAAAACAAGTAAAGGAATGGACCTGGTGCTGTAGTAGCAACTTGAGGAGATCAACCTTCTTCTCTGCACAGTCCAAGCAAAGTCCTTTCACTAAGAATTAAATAGACTGAGCTTTTCAGAACACTGAACACTTTGTCCCTTTTAATCACACAGCTGACTCTCTAGAACTAGAGGGGTGACAACAGCACATAGTCTAAAGGATCTCTCATATCTGTCTGTAATTACAACTGTCATCAGACAATTGGCTGCCTCCTTCCAATGTCCTCTAGACTTATCCTCCCTGTAATACCAGATCCACAGACAATGGGTCCCTCAGTCAGCTTCAGCAACTCTCAAATATCCAGCTTGCCCAGCTGGGACCACGATGAGCAGCAAACACATGGCAGGTGGGCCTAGGAGGCAACCAGCTGTGATCTCCTCCTCAGGGACAAGACACTTCTGTTCCAGGTCTCCAACCATTTATACACTTTCCCAGCAACCATCTGTGCACTCTCCCCCAGGGATTGGCTGTGACAGTATAAATATTCATGCTTGCCATTTGCCTTACTCCCCACCCATGTTCCAAAAACCACCCAGAGAATTCTAGATTGCAGGAGGAGTAATCAAACCTGCAGCCTGTAAAATTCAGAGCAAACCTGAACAATCAAAAACAGCCACACTGATTACAGTGAGCCAAAACTAACATTTCCTATCAACATTAAAACATAGAATGAACTTTAGCATACCTACATTACTTATTGAATATCTTTAACAGGTCACAGTTTGATTTCCTTGTTTCCCTTCAATGCTTTTTAGTGATTGGGTTGGCTTGAATTCAATGATCTTGGGTTTGGTCCCAGCCCAAATTTGTCTGAACCCAGATTTTGCTAAGCAGGGAATGAAAACCACTAGATCCCCAGTAAAAGCAGCACGCAGTACACACATAAACACTTGTTAGGCACCATGTAACCCCTTGATTGCCCTAGATGTTAACCCCCTCCTGCCCAGTGCCATTAGTACAGTGACAGTGCATATTATCAACATTGATCACTGTAATAATGTCACTGGTGATGTCAGTGGCCATTCGTTTCCCCCCCACATCAGTTAGTGTCAGATTGCACTATCGCAGTGCCATTATAAGTTGCTGATCGCCACCATTACTAGTGTATATGTATATATATAAAAAATATAAAATTCCAGTATATATCCCATAGTTTGCAAACAGTATGACCTTCACACAAACTAATCAATATATACTTATTGGGATTTTTTTTTTTTTTTACCAAAGACATATAGCAGAATATATTTTGGCAAAAATTCATTAAGAAGGTTTGATTTTTTAATTTATTTATGGGATATGTGTTATAGCAGAAAGTAAACAATATGTTTTTTTTTTAATTTTCGGTCTTTTTTCAGTTATATAATAAAAAATTAAAACCCAAATCAAATACCACCAAAAAAAGCTCTGTTTGTGTGATAAAAATTATATAAATTTCATTTCGTACAGCGTTGTCCTGCATAGCAAAAAATGACCTGGTCAGGAGGGCAAGTGGATAAACAGATATAAAGAGATGCTGATATCTTAGAACCAGGTTCAGTAATCTGTCAAAATGATGTCTTGTCAAAAGGCTACATTAGCTGTAATCTGAAGGAAAAATATCTCTCTTACTGAGTGATTTATTTCTTATTGAGAACAAAGTCAAATGTATAAAATGTACCGCTTAATGTTTAACATTCTTATTGCTATAACCTAACAAAAATCAATTATGTAAATTGTGTGTACTGCTTAAAAAAAAAAAAAAACAACCATCAGCATAGTACATCAGAATCTAGGTCTATAGAAAGATGATTTTACGTACATAATTATTAGCAGGTTTTAATTGACTTACTATTAATCTACGTTATTAACATTAATGTTTTTTTTTATTGGGTAGTCAGTGGAGAGGCGTATTAAGAACCAGAGAAAAAGTAACATTTTCTGCTGGTAATGAGCAGTAAAAGATGGATAGGCCTGTATATATGGGGGCGAGAATGCCCTAACATTTCAATGTTGTAAGTGTGCGTCATGCTGTAATGAGATTTACTCATCTGCTGTATATGCTAATTAAATATTTTCATAATCTAAAATGGCAACATGGCAAAAATAGTTACACCTTAGGAATGCAAACTGTGAATAACATATCATACTATTTCTCTTACATTATTTGAAACAGATTGTTTAAAGCGATTCTTCACTCTAGAAAAAAAATAGAAGCCAGCAGCTACAAATCCTGTAGCTGTTGACTTTTAATAAAAGGATACTTACTTATCCATGGATCCAGTGCCGTGTTCATCTGGGCTAGTTCTTCACTATTCTACAGGTTGCCCGCTCCGGCATCTTTAGTGTGGGAAGCAGTGACAGCATGTGGCTTCACAGCCAGCTTCCTACTGTGCATACACTGCATGCTGTGAATGGTCCCGCAGCTTTCTGGAACCTGTGATATGTTCCAGAAAGCTGTGGGTAAAAAGACACACACATATTAGATTAAAGTAATTGTAAACCCTAACCTTGCAAAACAACTCATTCAGTTTAACCGCTAGCCTACAGGGCACTTATATCCCCTTCCTGCCCAGTCCAATTTCCAGCTTTCAGCGCTGTTGCACTTTGAATGACAATTGCGCGGTCATGCAACACTGTACCCATATGACATTTTTATCATTTGTTTGTGACAGATAGAGCTTTATTTTGGTGGTATTTAATCACCTCTGGGTTTTTTATGTTTTCTTAAACAAACCAAAAACCACTGAAAATTTTGAAAAAAAAAAGTTTTTTCTTAGTTTTTGTTATAAAATTTTGTAAATAAGTGATTTTTCTCCTTCACTGATGTGCGTTAATGAGGCTGCACTGATGGGCACTGATAATCTGCACTGATGGACACTGATAGGTGGCACTGATGAGGAGGCACTGGTAGGTGGCACTGATGGGCATTGACAGGCATCACTGATGGGCACTGAAAGGCAGCACTCATATATGGCACTGATAGGCAGCACTGATAGGTAGCACTGATAGGCGGCACTGACGCACACTTATAGGCGGCACTGACTGGCACTGATAGGTGGCACTGATTGGCAACACTGATAGGTGGCACTGACTGTCATTGATAGGTGGCACTGACTGGCACTGATGGGTGACGCTGAAAGGCAGCTCAAATGGGCACTGATATGTGGCATTAATGTGAAACTGATGGGCACTGAAATGTGGCACTGATGGGCACTGGCAGGTGGCATGGAAGAGCACTGAGAGGTGGCACTGATGGACATTGACAGGTGGCGCTGCTAGGGCTACACAGATCATCAGGGCACACTGATCATCAGTGCTCTGATGATCTGTGTACATGTCCCCTCCGAGGAATGCTGATTACCGGCTCTCCTCTCCTCAGGAGCTGTCAGCGTAACAGCTCGAGAGGAGAGAAATGCCGATAACCGGCGTTTCCTTGTTTACATGTGATCAGCTGTGATTGGACACAGCTGACCACATGACCGAGCCGACAACTTCGGCTCTTTCCGTGGATTGGTGATCCGCGGCTTAGTTTCCAGCACAGCTAGAGAACTGACTGCAGGCACATATCAAATGTTGGATTTACATATACTTTAAATCAAATAATTTCCTTTTGTAGCTACCCTAACTAATTATAACTAAACCTGGCAGACAATGTTCTATTTTTTTTTTCTATTCTACTCTTTTCTATTTTTTTATTTTCTATTCCATTCTATTATTTTCTATTCTATTCTATTCTTTTATATTCTTTTATTTTCTATTATGTTTTATTCTATTCCTTTATATTCTATTCTGTTTTATTCTACTCAATTCTACTACCATTCTATTCTGTTTTATTCTATTCTGTTATATACTATTCTAATAGCAGCCTAAGTAGGAATCATCATCTTATTTCACTTTTATACCTTACTGTATTTATTGTAATATGTTTGCATTTGGAATTTGAACTAATTTTTTAATTTGAATTCAAATTAATTTTCAAATTCAATTCATTTTTTAATTCATATTTGGATTATTAATTTAATTATAATTTATTTCAGATTCATTGAAATTCGTAACTATTGTGATTTGAAAATTCTGATACATCCGAATCTCCAAATAATGAACATTTCGTCCGAATTTTGACTTGTAATGAAACAAATCACGCATGGCTAACGCCAATAGTGCTATATAAAAATCTAATTCCTAGGTGATAGGGTATCCTGAGTGGAATATCAAATTAAGCAGCAAAAACTATTGTAATTAGAATATTAATTAAAGTGTTACTAAACTCAGGACCCTGCATCCACTGTCTCCCACAGTAAACAGAACAAATGCATTTATTTTACTAAATATAAACTGCTAAATACCTTTTCTCATCAGCAATTAGAGCAGTCTTGTGACTTCTATCAGTGTCCAGCCCACACTAGCTAAAGCTTTTAGGAGGAGTTTTCTTTCTGTTCTAGGAGAATGAAAATTCCCTAAATAACCATAAGAATAGAGGCTTAAAATGTAATTGGTATCACTTGAAGTACAAAGTTTGCCCAATAACCAAAAAACCCTGCAACAAAAAAAAATGTGAATAAAGAAGTCACAAGAAAAGCGGTTACATAAAGTACAATGCGATACTCAAATAGTTATCAAAATATGCTTTTATTAGCAAAATTGCACATGGAAGACAATTGAGTAAAGAATGCAAAAAAACATCACCTCAATTTAAGACAATACAGAGAGCAAACTTAAAACAAAAAAATAAAAAGAGAGAGACATCGTGGCTATGCTGCAGGGGCAACGACTCACAGGTCTTTTGCACGGACAGCAAAAACACATCAGGGTGCACCACCATGGTGGGGATAGACATATCATGGAGAAAATACAATATAGCTATATACCAATCATCAAAAATACATGTGTAACTTCAATTGGCATGAATATAGGAGCCCAACTAGAAAATGCAATGGGACCATGTAAATAATGTGACCATGTATCTGGATACATTCCACACATAGATGCTTATGTCAATGAGTGACAATTAAAGGCACTGATGTAATCCTGGTAATAGTAAACCATAGATCAATAGTATTGGCCAGAAAACACAGTCATCAAATATAAATACAGTATTGACTAATAAGCCATCACAAGGCAATAGATATAGAATAAATATCCTTGAAGATGTATAGTCCAGCAGCAATATGTAGACAAATGGCAGTTGGTAGACAGCTGAATATATGGAAAATTCACTATCCTGAGATAAAGAAAGTCCATGAGGCAGCTGCCGTATAGGACTTGAATGGCAGAGCCTTTTAAATCAAATGGAGATAATGTGATATTCCTTAGTGAACTATTGGATATGGAGTAGAATCCCTGTCCTGTAGTGAAAAAGTGACAAATAGAGAGTCAATAAGGCTTCTGGTGATAGAGGCCCATCGGCTATGTATCCAGTTAGGTGTGAGAGAAGTGTCACTCACCACCCACTCGGTCAAATAATGACAGTATGGCGTTCCTCAAACTGCTCGTTTCCATGTCCGGAGTCCCGGAGGCAACCACCAGCTTGAACCCCAATGGTCAGGCTCCACTTCCTAGAGGGTACACAAGGTGACTGTCCAGACAGAGGTCAGGGGATTTCCATCGGCGCAACTCACCTAGTCTAGGTGGTGCTCCGTGTCCCCACCTAGACTAGGTGAGTTGCGCAGATGGAAATCCCCTGACCTCTGTCTGGACAGTGCTGATTGGCCTTGTGCTGATCACATGCACCCTCCCAGGAAAATAAAAAAACCTCTCTAGCAATATACACCAAACTGAGCATGTGCAGAATGGCTATGGGTTCAGTCTGGAGATAAGTGGTGTTCGCTTGAAAAAGAGAAGGATCAGAGAAGAAAGGATCAAACAGCCTTTTGTACACAATGAAGAGGATCGACCCCTTTGGTTCCACAGTGAGTATAACAAGCATGCTTTACTGCATCTACAGACTGATTTCACTGTTGTGGGTTTAGTAACATAAACAGACAAGAATCATCAAATTACAGCACACTTAGTTACCCTCCAAGTAAATGAAATGGATCGCTTAGGATGAAAGGATAGGGTCTTAGGATGGCTGCTGACCAAACCTTTAAAATGGCTACCGATGGGTGGAGCTGGTACTAAGAAATATGAATTCTGTCTTTCAAAATGGACTTGAACTCAGATGAGCCACAATGGAGAACAGGAATGATGAAGAGACTCCGGATATGGATAATGTGTGTGATCTTGTGTGTATATTCTAGATGGAAACTGTGTGTCCTCACTTTCTCTGAGCTTGTTTATTTGTCTACCCAAAAACACATCAAATTTAGGGATCCACCCAGATGGTGTAGTTGGTAATATTTATTCACTCTTAAATGGAGGGCCATATTGCTGATTAACTAGTTGCTTGCATAATCACCTGTGCAAAATCTTACTAGACCACTAAATGGTATTCTGAGAATAGAAATCCCTATATAGGTTTGTGGGAATAAAATAGATTTATTGGATTCAATCTTTATATGATAATTTTTATCTTTTTATATACTACTATTCCTCCCACACTGACACCAATGATGGGGCACTATTCCTCCCACACTGACACTAATGATGGGGCACTATTCCTCCCACTGACACCAATGATGCTTACATTGCTGACCCCTGTTCCAGCTCGGGCTCCCTCCCTCTCCCATCCATAGCCAGCATACCCAGCTGCAGCATCACCATCTGCTCTGCCCAAATCCTGGCCGCACGGCACAGAAGCTGTCTTCCTTCTCCGGCCGCTCTCCTTCTCTTCACTGGCTCCGGCTGGTCCCTCACTCGATCTTTTTCAATCTTCGCGGTGCCGCTCGGCTCCTCCTCTCCAAGCTCCTCCTCCTCACCAGTGATTTGCCGCCTGTGTAACTTTCCTGAGCTACAGATCCAGCAGCCAATCACCGGCGAGGAGATGGAGGAGACGGAGCTTGCAGAGGGTGGGACAGGCTTCTATAGGCTGCCCAGTGATCCCGGGGGTGTGGCCAGATGAGAGAGGCGGCATGTCATCCCACCCACATCGGGATCAAGATCTAGGGAGATGAAGACACCAGATGGGCACCCTCTCCACCCCTCCTCCAGCAGTGCCTCGTGGACTGCATCAAAGTGGGACACGGAGTCGTGGACACAGGTAAGACACAGCAGCCCCTGTCCCCTTCCCACGGAAGTGTCCCTTCCGTGGGAAAGGAGGGGGGGGGCGCCGCCACGCCACCCCCCTGAAAAGTGCCACCCTAGGCAAACGCCTTGTTTGCCTCGCGGCAAATACGTCCCTGCCTATGAGCATTGTAACACAGTTGATTGGCTCTCTGTGCTGCTTTTTTCTTCTCTTTTCTGAGCTTGGGACTACAGACTGCAAGAGGCTAATACCAAGTTAAATCCAGATACTTACACTGCATTTGTATGGTTAACTTTAAACTAATGAGCAGTAACTATTTAATTGACATATAAAGTATCTATTTACTTGAGACTACATCATTTTTTATTTTGTACAATAAAATGGGGATGAAATTGTGTTTGTATGCACTAAAATTATTTTGTTGCATCTTATTCTGAAAATATGGACGTATTAAACAGTTGTGCAAATATTATGAAATAATAATATAAGATAATAAATATTAATAAAATTGCAATAACCATGTTTTAATTCTATAAGCTCTCTGCATTCAGAAAACTTTTATTTTTCTGGCATTTTAAGTAATTATATAGCCCCCAAAAAATTCTAATTTTAACATGTGTGTGTGAAAAATGAAAACGGGAAAGTGGTTATCACAGTGGACATTTTAGGTTTCTAATACCCCTGCTTTTTCCATTCTACTTAAAGTCTACAAATGCACAATGGGTCCAGCATGAAGACCTATAGGGATTTATTTACTAAAACTGGTTCACTCAGAATCTCGTACACTTCTGCATAGGAACCAATCAGCTTACAAGTTTTATTGCTAAAGTGTACATGAACAAGCTGAGGTTAGAAGCTGATTGAGTACCATGTACAGCTGCACCAGATTCTGAGTGAACCAGGTTTAGTAAATAGACCACATAGTCTCCAGCATGCCTCACTAAAAAGTAAGTAAATATAATATTAGATCGTGTTCTTCATCCATTTGTGGTAAATATGCCCTTATTGTGAGGAACACTGCTCATTTATTATACTTTAACTGTTAAATGATTTTGTGTTGTTGAAGGACTAGGTCACACCACATGCGTTCCAGTGTTTTTTTTT